TCAGATATTTATGGGTTCTTCTGATTGTTATCTTTATAGTGGATTGCATGTTGTTTTAGTTATATTCCCAGTTGCATGCTTCTTTTGTTATTCCCGTCGTTGCATCGGTTTTTGCATTGGTCATACGACTATTATATTTTTCCATGTGGGATCTTATCGTGTGCCATGCACGCTGACGTACACCTATTTTATCTAGTGTACGTCGGATTTAGGAGACGGACAGCCTCAGCTTGGAGTCGTACCGGAGCCAGATGATTCACAATAGGAGTGCCTTACAGATGGAGTAGAAGAACAAGCTGAAACGTAGTAGTTTTCTTCTGTAGTTGTTGTGGAACATTAGAACTCTTTATAGTATTGTCCTTAGTTTGATGATGGATTCAGTTATTTTATCAGTATTTTTTTGTCATAAACTATGTATTTTTATTCTTAATTGGATCGTTTTGTAATAAGGGTATGTTTGACCCATATTTTTATGTATGGGATGGTTTACCATGGATGATATGTTTATTTTTATTCTGGATTGTCTTTATATTATTGCTATTGAGATCGGGGACATGTGATTGAGATCTATGTATTCGACGCTTAGCGTATTAGATTGAGAAGAAAAGAAAAAAAGAAAAAAAAATTGATAGTGTATATTTCTTCTCAATCTAATACGTCGCAGGCTTGTTCACGTTTCAATTCCTGGGTATTTTGGGAAGCAGGGCGTGACAGGTTTTAGTAGTGGCCCATGCAGGTCACGGTCCCGAGTCCTCACTAGTAAGAATATAATTGTTTTCGTTGAAAGCTGCATTCATCATTGATTTCATTAAACTTTAGTCGTTACAAATGAATTCAAATAACGAAAATAAAAATTATAACTTTCTTAAAAATAAACACAAGATCCGTTTATCGGCTCTTGCTTGCGTGGGTTCTTTGCCGGTGCCGGGGATTATCCGTGGACGACCGCGAATCAGATCCGGTTGCAGGAAAATTCGGCAGAGCTTCGCCTTCGCCGAGGAAGTTTTCTGGTCTGAAGCGCTGAGATCGACAAAGCGAAATCAGGGCTCTTCTCGAGATTAAGACCAAGCCTAATCTCAAGGAACGGACGTACAGGCTTCGGATCCTTCGAACGGCTTCTCCTTTGTGCCGAAGTTCGCCGGGATCTCGTTGACCTTCGCTGAAATTTTGTGCTCCTTCACTCTTCAATCCAGCAACACCCCGTCCTCTTGATAAAATTCCAGATCTTGAAAATGGAGGCCTTTGGCTCGTATTTATAGGCCCCGGATGCGGTTATTTGGATGAGAACAAGTGATTTGACTCTATCTTCAGTTAACAACAGCCTAACCATGTTTGAGGACGATATCCAGTCAGTTAGGAACCCCTGGAACAGATAAATCCTGTGAAAACAGCTTTAAAACCGTCAAAACGTGTTTTGGGTTCCGGACTGCGCGGCGCGGGTCAGACAGGTCCGACCCGCGCTTGCGCGGGTCAGACTGATCTGACCCGCGCTTGCGCGGGTCGGTTTGTTCCGTCCTGCGCTCGCGCAGGTTTCCGACTTTTTCTTTTCCTGTTCTCTTTCTTCCGAGACTTGTTATTTTCGCTTGTTTGGTCAATTTGTTGACTCGTATGCTTCGGCACGAGCTGATTGACGTGCGCACGCTGACCGATGCGCACGAGATGATTTGACGTGCTCGCGCTGACCGACGCGCACGAGACGATTTGACGTGCGCGTGCTGACCGGCGCGCATGAGCTGGTTTCCCGTATGCGCGCTGACCGACGCGCACGGGCTGGTTTGACGTACGCCTGTTGATCGACGGGCTCGGGTCGAATGGCGTGTGTGCGCTGACTGATTGGCGTGCGCATGCTGATTAGGTGAATTTTCTTGACTCGCTCATTCATTGCTTCGAGTTTCTTGCGGGCTCTCATAGGCAATTTTAGACGCCTACAATAATAGACAATTTAGATACATATCATATTTCATCCGTACGACTACAATTAAGTTCTTATACTATTATCTTAATAATTATGTTTTAATTCTTATTTTCCTAATATATTGTTTTGATGTTAACCCTAGTTATCCTCTTGATCCTTGCTTTCCCTTAGAACCATGGTGGGTACTCGTCGTAACGGAGTAGGTATACATCGAACACAATTAACAAACAATAATCCTTCACCCTCATTAAAAAGATGCTTTTATTTAGCATAGAAAGAAAAAAATTTACCAGCGTCCCAAAACGTTAAACAAACATAACAAAACAAAATTGAAAAAATTAAAATAAAATAAGAAACCCCTCTCTTGCTTCCAAATAGAGATAATTATCAGCACCCGATCACATCTTCCTCACCCTAATCATCTTCGTCGTTCAGTACGTAGGCAACAAAAACCACGTACAAAAACCAAATTGCAACCGGCATGAACGAGGGCAACCGTGACAAATTAATTGCCCCGCCGCCTGTTGCAGCAGGAGGCCGCGGCGGCGACGGCGATGAAGCGGGCCGATGTAGTGCCACGTCAGATTTTGGCGAGGGAGAAGGAGACGGCGATGCAGGAAAAGTACTACGGTGCGCAGAGATTACTTCTACGAACAATGCTAGCATCATCATCATGGTTATCGTAGTGATCAGAGCTTTGAAAGAGGCCATGGTGAGATTTCGCTTTGAGGGAAAATTGATTGTTTGTGTTACGTATATATATATAGGACTTTGAGAAAGGACTAACCCTACTGGGTTTGGATCATATATAGATTGCGTTTAGGACTCCAAGCTTATTTAGAATTCTGTTTCCGTACAAATCCTATTTAGACCGGGCTAAAGGGGTAATATATTGCGAAAATAAAATTTAGTTGTCATGATTAACCATATCACTCGTTTAATTTAATTGTGATGTTTAACCATATCAAACCAAAAAATTTAAAAAAGAAACTTTAGTCAGGGATCTCCACTGAGCTTTTGTCAATTTAGAATGCATATCAAAGAAAAATTACTATATTTCGTGCGGACGACTATCCTTGTACTCTCGTTTGATTATTAAAAAAAAAAATTATCTTTTACGATTCCTCTTCAAAAAGCTTTTCATGTGCTTAGCACGTGATCTTTTTAGGATGAATCTACTATTACTTGGATAAGTAATTCTACAAAATAATGTTAAACTATAAATTAACTTAATTAACATATTCTTTAACACATAAACTTAATTAACATATTCTTTAACATATAAAAACTTAATTAACATATTCTTTAACATATATATCTTCAAATTTTAACATTTTAAATATTCTTCCCCGATGATTGGAACTTTTAATTTATCCTCCAATTTATGTTATTTATCCTCCAATTTATGTTATAAACAGTTAGCTATGTCACTGCCCACGTCAACAAAAAAAATTACTAAAATTACAAGGTCAATACAATAAAAAAATTAGTCAGGGATCTTCTTTGAACTTTTGTTGATTATATAGCACTTGTTGATCTTGCTGTAGATTTCATGAACCCTAAAGTTCGAAATAAAACATTGCTAGTAGACTGGACTCGAATCCTCTCCACTATATAAAAGTAGTGGAAGACCACTATTTTTTTATCATGGCTATTGATTTGTTTATTAGATGATAATGATTTGTCTATGAGTTTTTTTTTTTTTTTTTTTTGATACTTGATACTGTGCCATATATTTCGTTTCAGTGTTTCTTCGCAAGAAATCTAAATGTTGTAGTGAGATGAAATTTGTGAGGCATATTAATAAAATCTTTGGTTTCTTTCTATTAACATTCATTTCAAGATCAATGAGGCAACCATGGGAGATTTTTTTGGTCGATTTAATTTTACGTTGCCTCTCTTGAACTTTGTTTATTTAGCCACCCACCCCCCCCCCAACCCCCCCCCCCCCCAAAAAAAAAACAAAAAAAACAAAAAAAACAAAAAAAACAAAAAAAAAGCCCCACAACAACCCCATCCCCAAATCCCCAAAAAACACACCACATTTAATTTGCAAATAACTAAAATGTTCTTAAAAGAAAAGATGCCAAATTTTGTTATTTATCATTTACAGACAGGGTAGCCCCTCCCCCCTAAATTCGGGTTTTTTTTTCTCAAGAAAATTTAGTTACTTACAAGTTACGTGTAAGGGTCTGGTGAGAAATATTTAAAAGTCATAGGGGTTATGTGAAACAATATTTTGGCCTAAGAGAAAATATGGATTGTGTATGGGCTTGGCTATATGGGCTTCGACCAGACCTCTCCGCCTGAAGCAATATTTTGGCCCAATGTTGTTACCACGTATGACCCAACCTCAATTTCATTCCCTCATCAGTTTCCATGCGTGTATATATCCACCCGTATTATATCGGTGTTCAATTCTCGAGAATGTAGATCTCAAAATTTGTTAGTCCCCTTCACTTGGCCCTGCTTCAGCCTCGTAGACAGTAAATTAATCTATTATAACCAAAGTTTTGTGTGGGAAAAAGCTCTCCATTATTGATAATATTTAAAAAAAAAATACTTTCGGCAATACCCCCCTCTCATGCCCCTTTTTTCGCATACATAAGCAAGTCCGGATAAATCCTTTGTAGTTCTATTGTTGCATATAAACAGTGCTGAGTGGGGGAAATTTTTTTACACTTTTACTCTCAACAGATCTACTTGTAAAAAAAAATCTCTCAATTAAAAGAGTCGGGGAAAAAAAAAAGTACTGAGAGAGCTTATATGTAGCAATAGAACTACAATGGGGTCTCTCTGCAATCGGGCGATATTGCAAGGAGTCTGTCCGCAATTAACCCTATATATACAATAATCCTCTGAAACTTTGAAAGAGCATCTGCATCCAGATTTTGAATCACTAAATAAAAATTCACATATGGGTAAAGTATTCACCTTGTATTAGCTACTTTAAGCCAATTAAGTGGGAGCATCCAAATTTTAGGGGACTGCATAAACTTCCAACTGATGACCTTCGGAATAAATACAATCACATGCAGTTGCCTTAAGTACTGCAGACCATCAGCCAAATGAAAAACAAAAGGGACCTTGTAATTGTTATGCCTTCAAAATCTCCAACATTAGCCAGTACCCAACTCAAATGACACCATACCTGATTTCACCGAACACCTAACTCCTTAACATAACAAATACCCCAAAAATCCAAAGCTGAAACAAAGCAAACAATGGCCAAGAAAAACTTCGCATGGGGCTTCTGGAAATACTACAGCAACTCCATAGCTCTGTTTATGGCAGGAGTTACGGCAATCGTCGTCATATCGTCAGTCAAGAGATCAAACTGGAGGAAGATGGAGAATATTAACATGACCCCGCAAAACAACTATACTTCATGTAATCTCTTTTCGGGCAGGTGGGTATTCGATAACTCGAGCCATCCATTATATTCTGGCCTGAATTGCCCCTACATGAACGACGAGATCGCCTGCGATAAGTATGGAAGAAAAGACATTAGATATCAAGGTTGGAGATGGCAACCGCATGGATGTAATCTTCCAAGGTTAGTACTTTAGTTCTTAATCATATGAAATTGTATGCGTTCTGATTGTTCTTCGTCAATGATGTAGGTTTGATGCAAGAGGGTTTTTGGAGAGGTTAAGGGGGAAGAGAATGGTGTATGTTGGGGATTCATTGAATAGGAATCAGTGGATGTCTATGATTTGCCTCTTGGAGTCTTCTATAGCTAATGAGCACAAGCAGTTGATAATTAACGGATCTCTCAAGTCTTTCAAGGCTAAGGTACTCGTTGATTTTTCTAATTGAATGAATATAGATATTTTATATCAAGAATTTTGTGGTGGGTTCATTTTCTAAGTTAGACTACTTCAGGCAGAGAAGTCCTGTGTATAGGACAGAATTTCAGAAGAATACTTTTTCATCGTCCTGTAATTCGATCTAATTAGTTCAGTTCAGTATGTACGAATTCGAACAACATCGAGAGGATAAAATTTGTTCACCAAATAAAAAGAACTCTACAATCAAATGAGCATGAAAGTACAAATATGTTTTAATATTCAAATAAAACCTTCAATGAAGCATTCAAAATAAATTTCAGATATGAAAGGCAAATTTGAAGTTGATGATTATATACAAATACATATATGAACACCCTCAATCTTCAATCTGGTTCCATCCCTAATTATAAATTGATTCATGTAGTATACATATTTGACTAGTGTGCATGAAACTAACTTGGCTATTAAAAATATAGAATGGGCATAGATTAATTCAGTCAGTAGTAACATTTCTTAGAGTAAATGCAGGAGTTCAATGCATCGATCGACTTCTACTGGTCACCTCTGCTAGTAGAGTCCAACTGTGATGATCCAGTGCTCCATAGACTTTCAAACAGGATCATGAGAGCAGGAGCTATTGAAAAGCATGCACAACATTGGACAGATGCAAATATACTCATTTTTAACTCTTATCTTTGGTGGATGAAACCTAGGTTGAAGATGAAGATTCTGTGAGTATGGATTGCCATCTGATTATATCTAAGTTAAATATTCAATTAAATTTTCTAATAAACCATGGTGATGCTCAATAGTAATCTATGTATACTTCTTTGATGGATAATTGGATATAACTTTAACAAGTTAACTTATTGTTTTGCTTGAGTGTGTAAAAATCACTTGGGAATATACATCGTTGCAAACAACAAGAAGGACTATCATCCCAAAGTTTTTGCGGCCGGCTGCATGAATCCTACTATTCCATTAGTTCTGTTGAGGGATATCTCCTCCAATAAGTTGATTATTATCATATCCTTCTTAACATCTTTTAATCAAGTTCTTTTAAGGTCTGTCTCAAGTCCTTTTTTCCCCAATAACTATAATTTTATCACTAATTCGTATACTTAATAGCCTTCATGCACGTGACCAGACGACATCAAATGGTTTTCACTTGTGTTATCCTCAATAGGAGAAACCTCTAACTTTCTATAAAAGTACACATTTCGTATCCTATCTTTTACTGTCTATCACTTGTTCATCGTAACATTCTCATTTTTGCCAAACTTCTAGTGTTATACATCGCTGATCTTTGAAGCTGTCTAATATGATGGTAGGTATGGTTCATTTGATGACAAAGAGCAAAACTATCAGGAGGTAGAAATGATAGATGGCTTTGAAGTGGCACTGAAGACATGGGCAAATTGGCTTGAATTCAAGGTCGACGCGCTCAAGACCAAACTTTTCTTCATGAGCTTATCTCCAACTCATCTCTGGTGAGAAAATTCAGATAACCACTAATAAAAACCACATAAACTTAACCCCCATACTAAAATAAAATTGTACATAATTTTGACAGGGGAGGAGACTGGGGAGCAGCTGACGGTAAAAATTGCTACAATGAAACAGAGCCAATTCCAGAGGAAGGGTATACAGCCACAGGAAATGATTATAGGTTTCTTCACAAAGTTGAGGATGCAATTGAAGGTCTAGGGGGAAAAGGAGTGAATGTGCAAATGCTTAATATTACTCAACTCTCAGAATATAGAAAAGATGGACATCCATCGATATATAGAAAGCATTGGGATCCTCTCGATGAAGATAAACTCGCAAATCCGAGTAGCTATTCTGATTGCACTCATTGGTGCCTTCCAGGTGTCCCTGATGTATGGAACGAGATTCTATATGCCTACATTATCTCCAAATGACACAAATATTTCATTTTCCCTGCTGCTTACAAGAACAAGGAGATCAATTGAAGGAATTGAGATCTCAGAAAGGTCAAAATAGGATTACAAAACTCATAATGTGAGTTTCTGAATTCATATTGTCTGCATAAGCAATTTTGAAATGTTGTATAGCACAATTTACATAAGAGAAAATAAAGCAGTTTCATTATCTTTGTTTTTCCATTTGATGGCAGACATGAATCGTACTCCTCATGTAAACGAAACTCGAACATTCTGCTCTAAACAACATGATCATGTGTATGCAGAGAAGAGCAATAGGGAATTGTAAGTAGCATTTTGGACAAAACACTACGCATAACGGGATTTACTCTTCCTGAAAACTCCAAAAATGAAACATTGACGATTCCGGTAATTATATTCTCCTCAACAAAGAAAAAGAAAATTATCGCTGAGGAATGATGGGTACTTTATAAAGATAAAAATAGCGCGGGACTCAATTATTTGATTAATTAGAAATCCAAACAAATGATGAAAGGAATATTTAGCAACCGCCACACTCTAATCAGGATAGAAACTAGATAACAATTATCTCTGCCAACTCTTGCTACTTTAGATGTAGATGGTTATATCTAACAAGAAAGAATGAATGCCCCCAACTTTTCTTTAGTTTTTCGTTTAGTAGGTGTTGATTAGCTTTAAAGGCAAAGGCACAGGTAGTACTTTATCAAAGATTGAAATGTATTGATATGAACTGAGGGTGACGACTTGCTACTTAAAGAAAGAAAAAAAGTATCAGAGAAGTTGATAACTTGTAGCCTCAGGAGCATAATCCTAACTGTCGCATCGGTGGTTGTTGATTAACCGAGCTGTTGTGCCTTCTCGAACGCCGACCTTAAAGCGTTATTCGACCTACTCTATTCTAAGGATCCCATGACCGAACTGCTTTCAGGAACAGTAGTTTGAGTTATCTGGTGCGCACCTACCAATAACTCCAAACGGGACAGGCAAACCTGAAACACAAGCAAAGGCATTTCTACTCCTTAGAAACTTGAAGGAGAAGGAGAGATTGGGCATCCGCACTTCGGTGCAAAATCGGTTATATTACATCAACGGCTGAACAGCATGGCTCCATCATTTTCCTCTTCATTAGCTTTGAGTCCAGATGACGCAAACAGCAGGAACAAAAAAACTTAAAAATTTTTCGACAGGTTTACGAAGAAATTCAACAACTCCACCTACCGTGCACCTTTCTTTTTGAGAATAAACCTACCATGCGTCTATACATCTATTATCTATAACTAAGAAAATTAGAACTAGTAACCATCAACCTCTTCTTAATAATGATTTACCTACTCTCATTTAACTCTTATACATGCCCATCCAATTTGAGGACTGAACTTCGCTGACCAACGAGTAATTTAACCAATAAAGAGTACCATTACCACAAATCCTCAACCAATGCATCACTAAACAGATATTTCACCCAAAAAAAAAATGGAGAAAAAGTCAGTATCAGAAAAGGAAAAGATAGATTTCTTCTGAGGTGGTCTCTCAGCCATTTAATCATACAAATTGTGAGCAACCCCATATATGGGCTTAATCCCACAATGAGAGCCTACTAATTCTAAAAACTAAAAGCTATCAGGAAAACTACAACGAAGTCCATCAAAATTCTGTTGGGATTTTGTCTTTGATTCTTTGTGTAACTTCATGAGAATTAGATAGGGTTAGAGTTCTATCATGATTAAGAGTTTGGGTTCTATCATGATTAGGAGTTTGAATCCTATTCTAATTAGGAAGTTAGGCTAGAGATATGGTTTTGGTTTCCCTATATATATTTTTCTATTGGTGGAGGAAAAACAATGAAGAAAAAGTAGAGATGTAGTAGATGAGAGAGAGAGGGTTTCGTAGTCTTTATCCGTGCAAAAGATTACAAGGAGTGGGCTTTGGAGAGAATATGAGAGTTGATTATGTATGTGAGGTTGAGAGATTGAGAGACGAGAGTTGAGTGGTACCTCTTGTAGTTCTCCCTGATACATAGTGAATTTATCGTATTGCTGCATCGTGGACGTAGGTCAAAGTTGGTCGACCAAACCACGTAAATCTCGGTATTCTTTTTCTTAATTGTGGTTGTTCTATCTTATTGATTGGAGTTGGCTTTCGAGTTGCGCATATCGTGGTAGGCGGGGAGAGTGAAAGTCCCCAACAAATTCTAGGTAACAGGGTCTAGTAATTCATCACACAGCATCAAAAACACCAAAATGATATGCAGAAACTATGATTATTAGCCCAGGCTACCATCTGGGTGTCCTAATATTAACCATGTTACAAGAAAATGAGACAAAATTTAAAAGTAAAAAATTAAAATTGAATTTGTTCTTACCAGCAACAATCCTTGCAATCTACTGATACATGCTTCAGCCCACCAAACGATTATGGGCTGGGCCCATTTATGTCAAAGAGTCCACAGCTTGTGAATTTCAAGCACGTTCATTGCTCGATCAATGTTTAAGAAATGCAATGGAAGTGGCGAAATCATCAACGAGAAATTCAACCATGAAAGATTTTGGTATTGGGCCTCATCCTACTACGTTGGGTAGTTCAGATAATATCATGGGTTCAACGGATTGGGCCTAAGCCCTATTTAGTCCAATCGTCTTGCTGACCATGTCTATGATAAAGATGGGCCAGGCTTTTTCCTTTTTACTCCATGACTTTGTCAAACTTGAGATAATCTCATCCCATACTCTTTTTTATATGGAATCTTACCTCATACTTAATCGAAGAGATGTTATCTACGAACACAAAACCATGGGACCAACTACTGGGGACAGTTTATATGTATATTTGTTAGAACTAGTATAGTGTATGTGCGTTATATATAGACAAACTTGAATATTTACAATGCACTAAATTATAATTATATTAACAAATGTACTCTATACTAGCTTTACCTTAGTAACATTAGGTTTCTATTATTAAACTTCATTTGTTTTTGGTTTTGAACTATTAACCTCCTTTTTTTAAATTAACGGATGGAAGGGTCTTTCATTTCTAAAAAAAATAAATGAATCACATAATGACAGTGAGTTGTATAGATTATTATATACATATATATCTAATACTATTAAAAAAGTGTGTTGTCATGTTAAAATAACTTATAAACTTACTAGTTAGATTTATAAATAATTTAAATATTACTCGTTCATATGTCTTATCCCCAAAAAAGATGGAGCAGATAACCCAAAGGACTTCAGACCCATTAGCTTGCTTAACAGTACTGTTAAAATCTTCACTAAAATCCTAGCAAACAGGCTAAAACCTCTCATATCATCCCTCATTGATTCCTCTCAATCAGCTTTCCAAAGTGGCAAATCGGCGCTTGATTCCATCCTCATCGCCCATGAAATGATTAACCAATGCACCTCTGGAAAAAAGGAAATTTGTGCTATCAAGGTAGACTTCTTCAAAGCCTTTGATTGTGTCAATTGGAACTTTCTTCTGTCCCTCCTTGAAGCCAGGGGTTTTAGTCCTAGATGGTGCCAATGGATCTCTCATATCCTTTCTTCTTCCAAGTCGACGGTTTTGGTAAATGGCTCCCCCACGAAGTTCTTTCAAAATCAAAGGGGCCTTAAGCAAGGAGACCCCTTATCTCCCATGATTTTTCTTCTTATAGTTGATGTTCTCTGTAAGATGTTAAAGGCCAGTGCCTCCTCTGAAGATCTGTCAAATCTAAACCTTAAGGGAGTCCTTAACAACATCAGAACCCTTCCATTTGCAGATGATACTCTCATCTTTTGTAAAGCATCACAGAAAGACATTACAAATCTTAGAGCGATCCTCCTTATCTTTGCCAACATTTCTGGTCTAAATGTCAATGAATCCAAGACTAACCTTTTCTACCTTGGTAAAACACCCCACAAAGGTTCTTATCTTGCTAGCCTTCTGAGATGCTCTGTTGGCTCCCTCCCTTTCATCTATCTTGGCCTCCCCCTTAAAAGAAGTTCTCTGTCCAGAAGGGATTGGCAACCCCTATTGGAATCCTTTTCCAAGAAACTTGCATTATGGAAAAACAAATCTCTCTCTATAGGTGGAAGACTCACTCTTATCAACTCTGTCCTCTCCTCCCTTCCACTCTATTACATGTCTTTCTTCAAAATTCCTAAAGGCATCATTAAAGCTATCGACAAAATCAGAAGAAACTTCCTGTGGGGAGGGCAAAAACCAGCTTCAAAACCAAAATGTCATGTCAGGTGGGAAATTGTGTGCAAACCCAAGAGTGAAGGAGGATTAGGGGTCATCAATCTTCAAGATTTCAATCAAGCTTTGCTATCCAAATGGTTTTGGAAGATCTTTGACAAGGAATCCTTGATCAGCAAAGTTTTTTTCTCCCTTTATTCCTCAAATGAATCTAATCCTTTCTCCCAACCCCCTAAGATCTCTGCTTCCAAATTTACCTAGGAAATTTTCTCTATTCACTCCATCTTCTTTAGCAATGCTCATTGGAAGTTGGGAAATGGCTCTACAAGCAGTTTCTGGGAAGACAAATGGGCAGGGGAAAATTCACTTGCTAGCCTTTTTCCAAATGCCTTTAAGCTTGCCTTCTCTAGAAAATGCTCCGTTAAATCCCAGGGTCTATGGTGCCAAAACTCTTGGAGGTGGAAGCCTATTCTCAGGAGGGCCATCTCTGCAGAGGAAAAATCAGATGTTACTAAGCTCATGCAATTCATCCATTACATTAATCCAACTGTTTCCTCCCCTCAGGACAGTTTGACATGGACCCTCAACTCAAATGGTATTTTTTCTGTGAAGTCTCTCTACTCTCTTCTTAACAGCGGAGGTATTAAATCTCACCTCTCATCTTTCATATGGTCATCCCCGATTCCGACAAAGGTTAAGATTTTTTTCTGGTTGTTGAGCAAGAAGAGGCTCCAAACTAGAGAAAATTTATCAAATAAAGGATGGACTGGAGATATTAGATGCCCTCTATGTATGCTATGTTCTGAATCTCAAATGCACCTATTCATCCATTGCTCCTTTATCAGACAAGCTTGGTACCTTCTTCTCCCTTACGAGAACATGGACTCCTGGCCCCTTGAAGAAGATAGCCTTATTTTAGTTAAGGAAAATTTCCTGATCAGCTCGGACCTCAAAGTCCTTTGGAGGGTTATCCTCCCTAGCTTCTGCTGGTGGACTTGGACATGTCGTAACAACTTGATT